GGATGGATTCGGAGGGATGCATAAAATGAGCGTTGTTCGAAAGAAGTGGGCACGTGTTTATGAGGATTGTGAGTATTTAGGATGAGGGGGGTTGTTTAGGAAAAATTTAGACACAAATGCATGCGTTGCGGTCTTGGTATAATGGTTGGGTTTGATTGGGATTGTCTCAGGTGATTCTAGTGTGCAATAATTCAGTTTTGCTTGGGGGCAAGCAAAAGTCAAGTGTGGGGTATTTTGATATGTGCATATTTAGCCATATATTTAGTATAGATTTTTATCAATTATTAGCTAATTATTTGCATATTATGGACAAAAGGTACTTAATAATGTTTAAATTGTATTTTCAGTCCAGAAGTCATGCTCGGGAGCAAAAAGGAAGAAGGAGATGCAATTAGAACCTGGAGAATGAAGAAAGAAGTACAAACCTGAAGCTACTCGGCGAGTCCAGTCGTCTACTCGACGAGTTTCCACGAATGTTCGCGAAGCAATACGTAGAGTCCTTGCCGTACACGGATTTTACAAAGAAACTCGGCGAGTTGAGTATCTACTCGACGAGTTGCCCATGTTTTGAGGATCTTATAAATAGAGGTCAAATTTCGAATCCACTATCTTTTCTGGCTTTTCTGGAAGATACTTTGCGACTAAGGAAATCCTTGGAGACCTGAAGAACGTGAGAAGAACCCTAATCTCTCATTCTTAGAAGATTCAAGGCAACTTAGGTTTAATTTTTCCACTTTATCTTTGAATAGAACAATGTTTGACTTGATTACTTTCGTTTTTAGCTTTTTGACTACTATAATCATGAGCTAAATTTACTAGTTTATGTTTAGGGAAGACAATTTTACTCCTATGGATTAATTTTATGGTTTGATTAATTGTTAATTGGTGATTTTGTTAAATTAAGCTTTAAAAAGATCCTTATGCATTAACCATAACTATTCTCTGTTAATAGGAAGGCAATTAGGCTGCATGAACTTCTCTTAATTGTTTACCTCATATGATTTATGTGAACACTTTGTTATGTGCCTAGGACTAGTGAATATGAAACTAGGATTAATTAGAGAATGGGTAAATTAATGTGTGAGCTTGTTGATAAACCAACAACAAGAGGCTAATTGAATCAGTAATTTGATTAACCAATTACAAGTCTTATTTAATCTGAATAATTGAACTAGGGAATTAATTACCTTAAACACTTGATCACTGCTTAAATTAATTGATTTTCTAAGGATTGGTAATAGCGAATGCGAATCTAATCACTTTAGTCGGTAACCAATAATAATTAATCTATTGCTTTGCCATAAAATTAACCATAGGAGTGAATGAGTTAAACCTAAGCAGAAACCTTTTATTAAATTTGGTGAATTTTTACTTGGTTTTAGTTGATTAGTTAATTGTGTGTTAGTTAGTGTGTCTAAGTTTCTATTCTTGTAAAACTAGAGAAAACCCTTTTACTTTTATTACTTGTTGGTTAAAATTAGTTATTAGGTTAATTTCCGTTCCTCGAGTTCGACACCCTACATATTCAACTATACCACTAAAAGACAGGTTCACTGCCTTTTTGTGCTTAAATTATATTTTTAGAGTAGGAATAAAACGAGTTGGTTTTAATTAGTAATTTGATTAACCAATTACAAGTCTTATTTAATCCGAATAATTGAACTAGGGAATTAATTAGCTTAAACACTTGATCACTGCTTAAATTAATTGATTTTCTAAGGATTGGTAATAGCGAATGCGAATCTAATCACTTTAGTCGGTAACCAATAATAATTAATCTATTGCTTTGCCATAAAATTCACCATAGGAGTGAATGAGTTGAACCTAAGCAGAAACCTTTTATTTAATTTGGTGAATTTTTACTTGGTTTTAGTTGATTAGTTAATTGCGTGCTAGTTAGTGTGTCTAACTTTCTAGTCTTGTAAAACTAGAGAAAACCCTTTTACTTTTATTACTTGTTGGTTAAAATTAGTTATTAGGTTAATTTCCGTTCCTTGAGTTCGACACCCTACTTATTCAACTATACCACTAAAAGACAGGTTCACTGCCTTTGAGTATTTAAATTATATTTTTAGAGTAGGAATAAAACGAGTTGGTTTTACACACATCAGTTCTCTTCTTGAACCTTAGAAGAACTCTCTTCATTTGATTGTAAACTTTTGTCTGGAATGGTATCATTTAGTCCATCATCTGGAGGTCTTTTCCTAGAGCAGGTAACCTCTTTCCCTTTATCCTTAAAAGGAAAAATATTTTCAAAGAATTCATCCTCTGCTGATTCCATGATGGTTTGGTTATGGATATCATCAACATGTGATTTAAACACAAGAAACCTATAGGCTGCACTATTCATGGTAGGGCCAAGATAGATGCAATCTATGGTTTTTGGTCCAAGTTTAGTCCTCTTAGGAATAGGTACTTGTGCCTTAGCAAGGCAACCCCACACTTTCATCCTTTTATAAGAGGGTAACCTCCCTTTCCACATATGATAGGGTGATTTATCACTCATTTTATGAGGAATTCTATTAAGTATTGAATTTGCTGCAAGACATGCTTCTCCCTACAGATTATGTGGTGCTCCAGAAGTAATTAACATTGAAATAATCATGTTTTTCAATGTTCTATTCTTTCTTTCTGCCACTCCATTTTGTTTAGGAGTATATGGAGCAGTTGTTTGATGTATAATACCACTTAAAGAACAAAATTCAGCAAAGTCTTTGGATTCATATTCTCCTCCTCGGTCAGACCTTAGTTTTTTGATCTTTTTGTCAAGTTGATTTTCAACTTCAGCCTTGTAATTCTTAAAATAATTCAAGGCTTCATCTTTGGTATTTAACAAATAAATATAACAATATTTGCTGCAATCATCAATAAAAGATATATAATAATTATTTCCTCCTCTTGTAGGTGTTGCTCTAAAATCACATAAATCAGAGTAGATTAAGCCAAGTATTTCATTAGATTTTTCAACTGATTTATGAGGATGTTGTGAAAATTTTGATTCTACACAAACCTCACATTTTATGTTTTTATCTAATGAACATTTTGGTAACATGCCAAGTTTTGCCATTCTTTGAATAGAACGAAAATTGACATGTCCCAAACGAGAATGCCACAAAATTGAAGGATCATGCATATACATAGAAGAGGGGGTAGTAGTGCCAATTATTGCATTAGCATTAACATTGGTTACATCATTGTTTGGTGTTTCAACACCATAGTACAAAGGTAAGACACTGACTTTGAAGAGACCCTCACTAAGGTATCCCTTTCCAACATACACCCCACCCTTGGTGAGAACAAACTTATCCGACTCAAATACAAGTTTGAAACCTTTGTTACTAAGAATAGGACCAGAAATCAAATTCTTAGTAATTTCAGGAACATGCAAAACATCACTTAAAATGAGTTCTTTTTCAGAAGTTAGTTGCAGCTTCACTTTTCCCTTTCCTTCAACTTTTGCAGTAGAGCCATTCCCCATAAACATTGGTTCAGAATCCGAGACTTTCTGGTATGTAGAAAACATGGTTCGGGAGTTGTAAATGTGCCTTGTGGCTCCAGTATCAATCCACCAATCCACACAATTGCTAACCATGTTGGTTTGAATCACAGCAACAAATTGATTTGGTGATTCAACCATGTTGGCTTGACCAGAATTTCCTCCACCAGAATTACCACCATTGTTTCCATTGTTCCTTCCATTATTTCCTCCATTGTTTCCTCCTTGACCCCTCCTGAATCTGCAATTTTTAGCCTTGTGTCCAATTTTTCCACAAACATAGCATGGACCAGAATTCTTCTTGAAATTCTTCTTGTTAGGGCCATGATTTTTGCCATCTTTGGAAGAGTTTTTGGAGCCTTGCTTCCCTTTCTTGTTGTTCTGCTATGTCCTTGAAGTACTTGCTTCTCCAACAAAGTTTTCACTTGGTTCCAAGGAATTTGCATCTACCTTCTCATTCAATCTGTTATCTTCTTCCACACGAATTCTCAACACAAGTTGCTCAAAACTCATGTCATCAGTTAAGTGCTTAAGATATAATTTGAAATTCTTCCAAGAAGGAGGAAGTTGTCAAATGATTGAACCAACAAAAAAGTTAGAGTTTATACGCATACCTTCAACTTCAAGATCATGTGCAATGACTTGAATTTCCTACACTTGTTTGTGGACAGATTTGGTATCCACCATCTTGAAATTCATGAACTTCCCAATCACGAATTTCTTGGAACATGTCACTTCTGTTTTGTATTTCTTTTCTAGTGATTCCCATATCTCTCTTGCAGTAGTCATGGTAGAGTAGATATCATAGAGAGAATCATCCAAGGCATTCAGAATATAATTTCTGCAATTATATTCATTTGTGTTCCAATTTTCCACAACCCTTTGATGTTCTGCCAATTAGGCTTCACTAGGTGGTTTTGTTCCTTCTGCAGTGGTTATACCAGTAGGAGGAGAGGGAGAATCATCAGTGAGAACATTAGAAGCATGAAGAGTTGTTAGATAAAACAACATCTTCTGTTGCCATCTCCGGAAATCTGAGCCTTTGAATTTCTCAGGCTTTTCCACATGTGTTTTGATGATGGAATTTTGATCCATTCTTTACTCTTTGATTTTTGTCTTAGATAGTTAATACAAAAGTATACAATCAACAAAGTAATTGAAATAAAACGAACTAAATTCAGATATATTTAATATACAAGAATCAATTTATAGAAAACATACTTGTTTGATGATTACATAGAAATATAATCACGAAATTGTAGAGATTGAGGCCTGCCTTGCAGTGTCCTAAGACAAAAATTTCCCTGGTAGGGATATGTCAAGAGGATACAACAATCAACCAAGATCTTCTCTTGATTTTGACGAAATTCACTATGTTCCCTTCATTGTATGTGGAATACGAATTTATATGTGGAATATTTGTATGGTTTATCTAGAACCCGAAATCTGTTCTTTGGTGATCTATTTATAGGTATAGATTGACTGTTTTTCCCTCCAAAAACTGTTAACCGAAAATAACTGTCAAAACAGTTAAAACGAATTTAACAGATTTTTTAATAGATAATAAAAGTCAAAATCGGAAATAATATATATATAAATCAATGTAACTAGTCAATGAGACCCCAAAAGCCCAAGGCCAATCTTTTGACCATTATATATATATATATTATATATATATATATATATATATATATAAGTCTTTCAAGACCATTTTGACTAGCCCAATCACCAAATCCAACCCAATCCCTCTAGTCCAAGCCTTTGATATAATTAGTAAACAACTAGTAGGAGGCTTTTTAAGAGAGTATAAGGTTCCTCTTTCTTCCAATGTGGGACAAGTCCCATAAAGAGAGTTTTCCATTTAACAAAGTTCCAACAATATTTTGGTAGTTGGGTGTCTAGCCATGAGAGACAATCTCGATTTTCTGTCCATGGACTGTTTGAAACATTGTGTTGCGTTGATTTTGGGAGACCGGATTTGAGCAGAGTGTGTAATGGGCCTATGCAGTATATGTTTGGGCAAAGACTGCGGATTTGATCGAGTATGGATGCGTCCAGAGCTTCGAATGTGTTGAGTATGACACCATGAGCTCGAGGAACTTGTCGAGCTTTGTTCTTTATGATTTGCATAACGGGATTGGTTAGGTTATCGTAACGATAGAAACCTGGAAGATCCCGGCACCGGAGGAAAGTTTCTGTTCTGGGGATGTTCTTTATCAACACATCCAAATCGATACCTGAATCAAAAAAAGGTTTTCATTTTTCATTTTTCAACATTTGAAGTCATATATCGTCGGTGAAAGGAAAAGAAGGAGTTGCACTCACCGTTGAAAGGGACCTCGCCGGCTCCGATGAGCTTAGGAAGACACAAGTACGTCCAGAGAGCGCAAGGACTCACCGTTTCGAAATAAATCAAAGGAATCTGTATCTCTTCCGCGACATCAAGTGCAAATGAAAAGAATCTGTCGGGTATTACAACAGTCACCGAAGAATCGGATTTGGAACTGAAGCATCCAGAAACCATCATTTCTCTGAAAGCTGGTTCGGTCACAGTTTTCATTCCTTCAAACACCTCGTTGTAGCGTGCGGTGGAACGAGGATGGTCGTCGGGGAGTCCGTCGGAGATGGTCTGAAAACGGAAATTGGGGTAGCGGCTGAATCGGGACAAGACATTGGTGTGACAGAGGAGGTTTCGTTGGATGTGGCCGGTGTTGAGGACAGTGACGGAGATGCCGGAGATACAGAGGAGCTCTGCTAATTTGAGCACACAATTGACAGGACCTTGGCAAAGGGAAAATCAGGACATGGGTAGACATAATTGACTGAACTCCGAGAGAATCTTCCGAGAGTACGTACTTTGGTGACAAAGCAGCAGTACTTCAGATTTCTCAATGGCGGATGATCAAGATGATATGTTACTTTATTAAGAAGCAAATTGAAAAAGTTGTCCATCTAGTATTAGGAAAATTATAGATATGGTCCTTTAACTATTTTTCATCATTGATATATTCTAAATATGAGTTTCTTGTATGATTTTATTCTTTCGATAGTCTAACTTAATTAGAGTTTAACCATTAGATCATCACAATGCATAGTTTAATAGGAGAGTTGAATAAGGTGTCATGCATAATTGGTATTAATGGATTAAACTTTACCATTGTGGGATGTCATGTTAGCGTTGAATGAATATGGATTTCAATGGCCATTGAACTCTTCAGTGGGAAAAATGAAAGTTTTTTAACTATTAAATGTATGATCTATTAAACTTTGTAGAGTTCAATGTATTGTAGAGAAATTTTGGTAGAGTTGTATGGAAAGTAAAATGATAATGTGTCAATCCATTTACTCTAAAGAGTTCAATTCATTGAACTCTAAAGAGTCCATATAATGATAATTAGATCCTTATTCGTATCTTGTCCAACTTGCACCCAATGTACTTAAACACGTAAACTTAACATTCTGGAAATTAAAGTACCATAACAATAGCTTTAATCCGGTAAAAGGGTGTTTTTTTCTCCAAAATTGACGATGACTCAACTAGAAGAATGAAGAGAATAGAAAGGAAAGTAGAAGAACCGAAGAGTGAATCACAACTAATCTAGGGTGAATAAAAAAAATGTATGTTGTTACATAGGAAAAATTATGGTTATAACTTATAAGGATGTTTTATACGAGAGAGAAGAAGAAATGGATCTATAATTGTTATTTGTATAAAAGAATAATTGTGCTATCGGGTCGAGGTCGTTGGAAATATGTTCATTAGTTACTAAATTGGGCCATTTGCGTTAAGTGTTCTTTGATACTTCAATAGAAAATTTATAAATTAATAGGTAGAATTAAAGGCTTGTGAGTAAGTTTTAAAAATTATTATTTTTATAATGTACTATATTAAACTAGTAAAAAGCATGATTATCACCATAGGAATCGGTTGTGTAATAAAAGATAGTTAAGGACCATTTATGTAATTATTCTTTATTATTTACATATCAAATTAAAAAAATAATAGTATCTTTGTCTTTATAGTGTTTGAATATTTATATTGTCACTTGTAGATATAAAATAACACAAATTAAATATAATTTGTCCACTGTATGCGACATGCGACTATAATATATATAACCATGTCAAATAGTATTGGCCAAGTAACGTAATATTCTTTCGAACCTCGGTTACATAAACTTTGAGAACATTGGACTTAATAACCGATGTCGGACCTATAAAATACAAATTTCATCTAACCTAATTCGCAAAATGTGGTAACGGATAGAATTGAAGAGGCTTCTTAACCATCTGAGCTTCTCAGTAGTAGGGTGACATGGTTGTGTACCCGTGGACGAACACCACACCGTCGCACTTGGTGATCTCTCTCTTTCTCTCTCTCTCTCTCTCTCTCAAAAAACTAACTTGTAACAACGTAAATTTCCAAAACAATTTTTTCATTTAAAAACATATTTTCATTCATAAAATATCATAGTAATCCAATGTATCACAGGTTAAAAACATATTTTCATTCATATTTTCATTCCCAAGATCCTCAAATACATAAATCCTCTCAGTGTGTACGGATCATGTCGGCGCCTTCCCGCGATCATCGCTGGTACCTGAAACACATAACACAACAATTGTAAGCATAAATGCTTAGTGAGTTCCCCAAAATACCACATACAACACATAAGCCACTCGAGGCTATAACTCGGTATGACCCTCCGGTCAATGTGTCTCAGCGGGACCCTCCAGTCCCGTAGCTCGTTGGACCCTCCAGTCCGGTCTAGCTCGTTGGACCCTCTGGTCCGGTCTAAATCGTTGGATCCTCTGATCCGGTCTAAATCGTAGGACTCTCCGGTCCGGTCTATATAACACATAGCATACATATATCACAATGCACATAAACTCAACATACACATAACACATAAGACCCTCTGGTCTGCATATAGTTACCACTCTAGGTAATGTATAGTGAGAAGACTCACCTCGGGTATCTCGGATGATCTCGCTCACGAATATACTGATCTAGCCCCTGCCTAATCACATACACAATATCCTTGAATAAATAATGGCTCTCAAAGGCTAGATTAAATCCCTTTCTACGATCCCTCAGAAGGGTACAAGACCATTTTACCCCTCCTTGACCCAAAAGTCCAAATGTTGACCGAAACCCTAAAAGTCAACGAAAGTCAACGGTCAACATTGACCGGACTCGCCGAGTGCACTAGAGTGACTCGGCGAGTACATGCTTGTCCTCCTCGCCCCTGTCCTCACTTGACTTGCTGAGTCAACCCTATACTCCACGGGTCGCCACGAGTCACGAGTCGCGGGGCAACCCGACTCGACTCGTCGAGTCCTTTATGGGCTCGGCGAGTTCCTCTCATGAAAACTCTCAAAAGATCCCTTGAGGTCAGATCTGCTTCACCAACTATTAGATCTACCCTTCAAATGCTCAAATGTCACGTAAAGGTGCAACCTTTACGTGAATGCAACCCACAACAAGTCATAAATGGAGAAATAACTCTAAATATGGCAACCTAGTCTCCAATCCTCCCTGAACAAACAAAAAGCAGAATGGGGAAGGTTCTTTGGACCTCTATGGGTCCAGATCTGAGGCCTAACCCGGCAAGGGACCATAAACTCAACTCTTTAAGCCTTCAAAGGTTATAGAAAAACCCTAAATCGTAGATCTTAACCCAAAACAGAAAGGAAGTTCGATTTGATACCTCAATAGTGTAGATTTGAACTTGAAAACCCTGGATCCACAGCTCCCTTGACCTCCTCTTGTTCGAAACCACTTCTCTTTTGCTAAAACACTCAAGAAATGGTGAATTAGCCTTCCTTTAGCACCACAAACGCTCTCTCTCTCTCTCTCTCTAGGGTTTCTCAGGGGTGAAGTGGCCGCAATGGAGGCTATAAAGGCCTTTAAATAGGGCATAGGCCCCGAGAATTAGGGTTTCACTTAACAGCGCGGACTCGCCGAGTCCACGCATCGACTCGCCGAGTCCTTCATTAAATCAGACAAGAAATGCGCGATCCTACTCGGCGAGTCTGAGCGCCTACTCGCCGAGTCCCTCCTTAAAACTCAAAATAAATTCTTAAAATAAGGTACCTGGGAATCCGGATGTTACAATTCTCCCCCACTAGAATCAAACTTCGCCCTCGAAGTCTTGCTCGGCAAACAACTCTGGATGCTGCTCCCGCATCTCCAACTCCGGCTCCCAAGTCAGCTCGGACCCTTTCCGATGTTGCCACTGGACCTGCACCAGGGGCACTTCCTTGTTCCTCAGAACCTTGATCTTCCGATCCCGGATCGCAATTGGTCTCTCAGCATAATTCAGGCTCGCATCTACCTGAATATCCTCCAGCGGTACCACCGCCGACTCGTCGGCTGTACACTTCCTCAACTGAGACACGTGGAAGGTATCATGAATCTGGCTCAACTCCGCAGGTAGCTCCAGCTTGCCCCTCTTCCTGAACCGAATCACTCCTTTCCAAGGAGACACCTTCAGGAGTACGAAGTCTCCCACCTGGAACTCAAGCTCGGATCGTCGCCTATCCGCATAACTCTTCTGACGACTCTGAGCCGTCAATAACCTCTGTCTAACCTGTTGTATCTGCTTTGTCGTCTGAAGCACTATCTCGGTGCTACACATCACACGCTGCCCTACCTCTCCCCAGCAAATGGGAGTCCGACACCTCCTCCCATACAACAACTCGAAGGGAGGCATACCAATACTCGAATGGTGGCTGTTGTTGTAGGAAAACTCAGCCAACGGCAATTACGTGTCCCAACTTCCCCCGAAGTCCAGCACACATGCTCGAAGCATGTCCTCGAGTGTCTGAATCGTCCGCTCACTCTGTCCGTCCGTCTGGGGCTGGTAGGCGGTACTGAAATGCAACCTCGTACCCAACTCCTCGTGGAACTTCTTCCAGAACCTGGAAGTGAAACGTACATCTCGATCTGACACAATCCAGATCGGCACCCCATGCCGCGATACCACTTCCCTCACATACAACTCTGCCAACCTCTCAGCAGAAGAGCTCTCACTGATAGCAAGAAAATGCGCGCTCTTCGTCAGCCGGTCGACGATCACCCAAATTGCATCAACACCCCGCGCGGTCCTCGGCAATTTGGTGATGAAATCCATAGAAATTTGTTCCCACTTCCATTGGGGAACCTCAAGTGGCTGCAACTTGCCATGCGGACGCTGGTGCTCGGCAGGTCAAGCACCTCTCAACAAACCATGCTACATCCCTCTTCATACAGGGCCACCAATAGTCCCTCTTCAGGTCCAAATACATCTTAGTGGCCCCGGGATGGATCGAGAACCTCGATCGGTGCGCCTCCTCCATCAAAGTGGTGCACGTCTCGCTTGCATACTGCACCCAAATCCGACCTTGAAGGGTCATCAGCCCACGACTATCGGTAACAAACTCAGGTACCTGTCCAATCACCCGCTCTCTCTTGCGGTTCTCCGGTCTCACGGCCTCTGCCTGGGCCTCCCGAATGGTGTCCAACACCGGAGTCATCACTGTCAATCGCATACAAGTGTCTCGAATCGGGGCACTCTCCGCCCTACGACTCAGCGCATCAGCTACAACATTAGCTTTGCCTGGGTGGTACATGATCTCACAATCGTAATCCTTTACCACATCCAACCATCTCCTCTGGCGCATATTCAGGTTAGGCTGATCCATCAGATACTTCAAACTCTTGTGGTCCGTCTATATGGTACACCGAACCCCATACAGGTAATGGCGCCAGATCTTGAGGGCGAACACCATTGCCCCCAACTCCAGATCGTGGGTGGGATACCTCGTCTCATGAGGCTTCAGCTGCCTCGATGCATACGCTATCACATGCCCCCTCTGCATAAGCACTGCACCCAACCCCGATATCGATGCGTCATAATACACCACAAAATCCTCCATTCCCTCTGGAAGGGATAACACCGGGGCTTCGC